CTGAAGTTCCCCTTCCCCACCAATTAAGCTGGAAAAAGTCACATATGGCCTTTTTAGTGTTCAGCCTTAAATTTGGAACACTGGTTGATTATTGTAAGCTTGTATAGCAGATTTTGAAGGAAACATAGAACACTAGAATAGCCAAAAGTATAGAGCCAGGTGAGACTGCACAGATGTGCGAGCTGGCCTGACTCCAGACTGGTGTTCTTAATTATCAACATTATCTAGCATTAAACCTTACCAAGCTTAATATCTTAAATGTACTTGCCCATGTTTCAATCTGGTCAAAACCATTTAATAATTTAAGGGAAAAGTTAATAATAAATACAAACTTAATAGCAATTAGTGCAAACAAAGATCAGATGGCATGGATGCTGCCAGAAGGCTGAGAGATCAACCAAGGTAACAACCTCAGCTAGTTACTGTACAATAAAATAATCAGATTATACCAGTATTTATTTTACTGAAATAATATTTGTAAAACTTATCTTCTTTCAAAATATGTATATACAAAGCAAAATTGAAAATACTGTCTGATGTATAAAACATTTTTCTATGCACAATCATTTAAACTGCCTGATTATTTAAACAATTGATCAACTGGCAAACTTTGAAGTTTGAACTATTGAAATAAAGGATTAAAATAGATAGCTTGCTCTTTTTCTTTTCAATAGTTAGAAAAAATACAAGTAATAATCGTAATGTAACCTAATCTTATTTAAAGGTATTAAATTCTAATATGCATAAAAGTGGCAATCCTCAATTTTTATCTATATTGTATTCTTTTCTACAAGCAGATATTTCTGTCTGATTGAATTCAAACACTAGTTTAAAACATAAGACCTGTCTGAGGAAAGCACGCTCCACTTTTCTCAGCGCTAGATAGCAAAATAAAAACTGCTTACTACAAAGGGCCATGACTTTGTAAAAATGAATTCTAGGATTACCTGATCTTCTGACATAGCGTTTTTTATGACAATAAACATGTACATGTATACCAAGTTTGAAATGTTAATTGCTTTTATGGGATCTGAGAAAATCGACCTTAACAAAAAAGTTAACCAACGAGAGTCATGACAATAGATCCACTCTTTTTCTTCAAAAAGTGAAGCTTTAATTTTAAAAGTGAAATAAATTGTTTTATATATAATACATATATTCAACAGCACCTAATATAACCTTTGTTTAATGAATTCAGCCCTTAACCTACTGCAAACGAAAATTATTTGCCTTAATAATGTAACCAGTAGTGTCAGCCAGGCCCTGTCTGCACATTGGTGCAATCTGACCAGGCTCTATGTATAAGATGTATAAGATGTAGAAGTTAATTTATGAATAATGAAATTATTAATGTTTTTCTAAATTAAAGCATATTGACAAGGAAATGCTATGTTACATATCCATAAAATTGATAACATACAGTTCCAAATAGATTCTACTTGAATCTGGACAAGTCCAATATACATGCGTAAATTCAACAAATAAATGGTTAATATAGCTCTTAAGTAGCTGTAGATAGGAAAATAATTATCTTCAGTTCTTCATTAACATTTTTCTCACACCTTTGATCTTAAGATTTGAAATTCCTTAATTAATTCTACATTCATTTTCTTTTTTCTTATTGGACTGGTACTTGAAATGAAATTCCCTGTATACCAAAACTGTAAATTCAGTCTACATGCAAACTATCTAGTATTAGTTTTATAATATTCATAGCAACACTGAAGACTATCATAAATTTAGATAATAATTAGTGAAACTTTCTGTAATGGCCTTGCCTTTCTTTGAAGTTTGATATTAGGTCATTTTATGTCTAATTTGAGAGCTTAGATAATATGTGAGCTTTGATAATTGTAAACTAAAATTACGGACGTCATCGGCAGCTTTGCAATATCAATTTGTTGTCAATAAAATCTTTATTGTAACAAGAGGGCCATGATGACCCTAAATCGCTCACCTGAGTCAGAATACTTGTTTATTTGGGTCTTTTAAAAGAATTTTTTTTGTTTTTACTATATGCATATAAGGAAATCAATGACCCCCTACGGCAGGGCCAATTTTGTCCCCAGGACTTTTATATGAACAAACTTGGTAGCAGTCTTCGAAATTAACGCCAGTCCGAGGCCCGAGGCCACTAAATTTAGCATCGGTCTGGTGATTATTGCAAGGTTGGTGGTCCGACGGGCCAGTAGATTTTTGGCCATGAAAAAATATTATAAGAAAATTTATCAAAATAATGAAGCAGGGTTCTCTAAAAGATTGACCTTTTTGCCTTTTTGTAAATGAAACCCATCAATTCTGTCCTAAATGTTTAAAATACAGCAAAAGATGTCTAAATTGTATTGAGTAATGAAGGCAGCCATTTTTTTCTTGGATATTTTCCGTACCGCATCGTACAGTTACGGAAATTAAACCATTGTTTACTATGGTCATTATTTAGCTATGATTTTGTGATTATTGAGTTAAGTAAATATTTTGTGTGAAAGTGATTTGTTTGAAGCAAATTGCTTTGTTCATGTTCAATTCTAGTAAATTTTGCCTAAACATTTGGTCCTTATAAATTTTTCAAAGCTGTCAACATATGGCCCAAAATACAAGAAGTATTATGCTTCTTTCAAAATTATCAAGGGAAGCATGATAAAGTGTTTTCCTTTACCCATCAATTTATTTCTATCTATGTATATGGTCCGGCTAAAAATCACAAGGTCCAGTAAGATGTGAAATTTTACTGGCCCGAATGTCCTTTGCTTTTTAAAGTTTTTCGTGAAGACTGTGGTAGACATCCACTAGAAGATATTTCCTGACAAATATGTAAGCTCTAGCTCTTTCAGATTTTTATAAGAAGTATTTCTTTCAGTTGACATGGCAACCAGAGTTTTGTAAGGAATTTATTAATTTTTAAAGGTGACCATCAAATTTCTGTTTAGTTTGGATGAAATTGGCTTAGAACATTTTAGGTAAAAGTTTACAGACAGACAACGGACGGATGCCGGACGAAAAGCAATCACAAAAGCTCAACATGTCACTTTTAGACAGGTGAGCTAAAAATCAAAAAATCTGATTCAAAATTTAGAATATATAGATTCAGTTAATTATGCCACAAGGCTATAAATATGTACCAATATTTCATCTTAATCAAGCATAAGCAACATTGTAATAAAAGTTTATAAAAGAATATAAATGCTCCTTTATTCATGCATTAATTCTGAAGAAGCACAAGGATGCTTTAAAGGCCTCATCTTGCACGGAAAGAGATTTAGTAAGTCCTAGGGCTTCTGCAGATGTTTACGCATGAAAAGAAAGGTGCCTTATACCTATTCAGATATTTTAAAATGATTAAAAATAATTAAAATTTGTACAACTATTAATGAAAATCAAGCTATTGTTAGGGATTAAGAATTCAGGTAAATTTGTACTATGTCATTAACTTTTTTTGAGCCTTGTCATGACAAAACCGACATAATGGGTTTGCGACCAGCATGGATCCAGATCAGCCTGCGCATCCGCACAGTCTGATCAGGATCCATGCTGTTCGCTATCAGTTTCTCTACTTGTTATAGAGTTGTAAGCGAACAGCATGGATCCTGATCAGACTGCGCGGATCCATGCTGGTCGCAAACCCATTATGTCAGTTTTGTTGTGACACGGCTCATTTATAAATTATACTTAATTAGTATGACTAAATCTTTATACATAAACATGACAAGGAAAAAAGGACCTAAAGAGAATAAGCCAAATTCTATTTCTAATTGTAAATTAATGTATATTCTTAACAGTGAGTCTATTGTTTACAAAACTGGCATGTGTATCCCTAAGTCTAAGTGAAAAAGATTGGCTGATGTAAATATTCTTAACCCTTTATGTCTGCATAACTATAACCCTGTTCTTAAGTACACAATTATCATTATCTATACAATATATGAATATTAATTTATGGTCACCATCATTCTGTACCCCCATATGGACAGCCCCAAAACAAAAGTGTTAGTCATTTCCTTTACAATGGACTACCCAACAACAAAAGTGTTTTTCTTTACAACATATGGACAACCCCACAACGAAAATGTAGTCATTTTTTCTTTACCACATATTGATTTCCCCACAACAGATTAGTGTGTTAGTCATTTATTTTATCCTTAGACACTGTATAAACTACTAAGAGCAAGATATTGTGACAATCAACTAAAAAAAAAAAGAAAGATTTTTTTTTTAATTCTTGAACAGTCAATATGTAAAGCAGTAAACAATTAAAATCATATTGGACAATTGACTGGTTAAATCAAGAGCACCGCTAGGCAGAGCATTATATGCCCAAATGCATTTGTAAGACATGGGAATTCAAAAAAGTATTACCTCCTTCAAAAAATAACAATCCTCCTATGAAGTTTGAATATTGTGGGCCGGATGGAACTTAAGTTATGCTCCGGAAACTGTTTTCAGTTTTAAAGTAATAGTGACCTTGACTTTTGACCTTGTGACCCCAAAAACAATAGGGGTCTTCTACCCAATATGGACAAGCATACTATGAAGTTTGAACACTATCGGCCAAATGGAACTTAAGTTATGTTCCAGAAACTGTTTTCAGTTTTAAGGTAATAGTGACCTTGACCTTTGATCTTGTGGCCCCAAAATCAATAGGGGTCTTCTACCCAATATGGACAATCATCCTATGAAGTTTGAATATTGTGGGCCAAATGGAACTTAAGTTATGCTCCGGAAACCAAATTGCTAACGGAAATTCTTTCGGGCATATAAAAAACTGATTTCTCAGATGACAATAATAAATTATGATTTTGAGAAACTGTCTACTCTAAAAACTCCCTTAAACAGTGGCTTTTCTAGGATGCGTGATTGCAGGATTCAATTTTAGTTTGTTTGAAAGGTCCTTTATCATGTTCTAAAGAATAAGTGGTTATTCTAACAAAACTACTCATAGCGTCCCACTCTTAAAAACATTTACAACATCATTTACATATTATAAGATATAAACATTGTCTTACTATCAAGTCTTGCCACCTCCTCATCAATAACACACTGCTTGGCATACGAGTCCTCAATAGTTGGATCATAGTCAGTGACAAAGTATGACTGAAAAAAAATAACATATAAGATAAAAGAAAATATAAAAACATTAAATTTAACAATGCTTTACTTAACTATTACAAGTACAACTCTATTAAATTTAGGGGTCAAAACTACCAGTTCAGATGCTAACAAGATGCAAAAAGCGAAGGGGAACAAAGTGCACTCAAACTTATTCTTCACTTAATTTTCAGCAATCACATTAATATGATTATGCGGATATGCCTAGTTTTTTGTTTGTTTGTTTTGGGTTTTACGTCACATCGACACACTGTAGGTCATATCGCGACGTTCCAGCTTTACTGGTGGAGGAAGACCTCAGGTGCCCTTCTGTGCATTATTTCAGGCACAAACGGGCACCTGAGTAGAACCACCGACATTCCGTCAGCTAGCTGGATAGCTTCCTCACATGAAAGAATCCAAAGTCCCTGTCGGGATTCGAACCCACAGGGGTGAGGGGATATGCCTAGTGGCATGCACCGAAATGCATATAATTATGAAGTAAACTCTATTTAGATCTGGATGAATGATCAGGATGTTCTACTAAAACTGAAGTTTTAGGGCCAGTTTATTTTATTATTCTTTGTTAAATTTAAGTTTATTGTCCTTTTTTGTTCTGTCAACTTTCATATAACAATTATGACCCCTTAACCTCCTGGAATTCGCAGAAAACTTAACAAAGAGATGATAGACTTTTACTGCTTTGAATATTGCAATCATCCATGGATGATATTAAGCGTCGGAAACCATGGTACATATAGCCTGGACTACCATATTTAATTATTGCCAGAACCCACGATAGCCTGGGTTACCGAGGATGCATAGATTTAATGTGAAAATTTAATCTTTCACCTGCTGGAATGGAAAGTGTTTTGCCATATTCAAATATAAAGAGCCAAGTCAGTCTGCAAATTCTGTGCAGTCAATGTGAGCCTGTCACCATGCTCCTATATTGTTAGTAGCTCAATTTTTGAATTTTGAAAATTCAAATTTCTTAATTTTCATATGAACTGTTCCATAGCAGGCTAACACAACAACATAAACAAGCAGGTCAACAAACTGGGGAAATGGTCAGATAATCCTTTATTCAATAATTTAACCACTTTTTATCGACTTTTTCAACCTTTTTGGATTTAAATGAAATAAAAGAATTTTATATTAACAAAAATCATAAAGTAACATTATGCTCATCCTATGATCCTATGGAATTGATAATGATTTGTCCCATAACAACTCCCCCCACTTTAGTGATGATTCACCACACTTCAAAATAATCATTTAAAACTTACTATAAATTATCAAAATGGCTAGATTGAATGTATGTTTGTGTAGATTTGTGAAATAAAATGTTCTCCTTATTCATCTTTAAAAACAGAAAATGGTTGTTTTAACTGACAAGTTATCAATATTTTAATTGATAATGATCCGCCCCAGTTCATTGACAGTTTGTGCCACTTAATGATAATCACAGCAACATATTTCAAACAACCTTTCTTCGAGAAAACGACATAATATTATTCCTTTTTTAATATTTTCAGACATTGAGTTACTTTATCAATGTAACTTTCAAGCTTTAGAAAATGATATGTATTTTGGCATATTTAGAATAACCATCTGCTTTAAGTCACAAATGATATCCATACATAAACAATTTAATCATTTTTATAATACTGCACGTTTGTAACGTCATTTTTCATTGGATAATCGTGACGTTTATATGGTTTTATATACACGGCTGCTGTCAATTCATGAAGAAATCTTACTTTTTTTCTAAAAATGATGCTTGCTGTATAATAAATTCATTATAAAGATTGTTGACAGGTTATATGGCCATATATAAACGGCTGTTTGCAAATGACCTCGCGTAACGGCTTGGGTTATATTTACAAATAGCCGTTTATATAGGGCCATATAACCTGTCAGGGCCTTTTTACCCTTCTTTGCTGTAGCCGGTATCCGGCTACTTCCCCAAGCTGAATTACTACCTTTTTTCCCCAAAAACAGTCAAAAATTCTCCTTTTGCAAAGATTTCCCCTTTCAAAAAAAAGATAAATCGAAGGACAAACATTCTCATTTAAAAATAGATTATTGTTTTCGTCCAATGAATGCTAATAATTCAATTACCCACTAGAGGGATACCTTGATTTAATACAATTGATGTTAACTCGCAGCCTCGGTCTGATATTGCAATTTTCCAACAAGAGCCATGTCAACATGGCCATCCCCCGCCGAATGTGTTTGCTCATTGGAAGAATGTATATGTAGTAGAGCAGAATAATTCCATTTTAAGAGGTCTTTTGGTAATGAAAACTGATGGCTATAGTGATTACAGATTTGAAACCTATGTGAATACTGATGGCTGAAAATAACAAAGGGCAATAACTGAAAAATAATGCAGGGTAGGTTATCATTCTTGTGTGCTGCATCCCTCCTCAGTAAAATCTATCCACCTATGAAGTTTCAAGTTGATACCTCAAATACTTTTTGAGAAAAAAATTGAATATGAAAAATAACAAAGGGCAATAACTCAAAAATTATAAAAGGTAGAGTTATCATTCTTGTGCACTGCACACCTCCTGAGTTAGATCTATGCACCTATGAAGTTTCATAATGATATCTCAAAGGCCTTTTGAGTTATGCTCTGGACAAAAATTAATTTTGAAAAATAAAAAAAGGGCAATAACTAAACAATTATGCAGGGTAGAGTTATCGTTCTTGTGCACTGCACTCTTCCTCAATGAGATTCATCCACCTATGAAGTTTCAAGTTGATACCTCAAATACTTTTTGAGATAAGCTCCGGACAAAATAGTATGAAAAAGAAAAAAGGGCAATAACTCAAAAATTGTACAGGGAAGAGTTATCATTCTTGTGCACAGCATTCCTCCTCAATAAAATCTATCCACCTATGACATTTCATGTTGACATCTCAAACACTTTTGAGTTATGCTCCACTCGGGTGAAAAATTAAGTATGAAAAATAACAAAGGGCAATAACTCAAAAATTATGAAAGGTAGAGTTATCATTCTTGTGCACTGCACACCTCCTGAGTGAGATCTATGCACCTATGAAGTTTCATTTTGATATCTCAAAGGCTTTTTGAGTTATGCTCTGGACAAAAATTAATTTTGAAAAATAACAAAGGGCAATAACTCAAAAATAATGCAGGGTAGAGTTATCATTCTTGTGCAATGCACTCCTCCTCAATGAGATCCATCCACCTATGAAGTTTCAAGTTGATACCTCAAATACTTTTTGAGATAAGCTCTGGACAAAATAGCATGAAAAAGAACAAAGGGCAATAACTCAAAAATTGTATAGGGAAGAGTTATCATTCTTGCGCACAACATTCCTCCTCAATAAGATCTATCCAACTATGACATTTCATGTTGATATGTCAAAAACTTTTTGAGTTTTGCTCCACTCAGGTGAAAAATTAAGTATGAAAAATAACAAAGGGCAATAACTCAAAAATTATGAAAGGTAGAGTTATCATTCTTGTGCACTGCACACCTCCTGAGTGAGATATATGCACCTATGAAGTTTCATGTTGATATCTCATAGGCTTTTGGAGTTATGCTCTGGACAAAAATCAATTTTGAAAAATAAGAAAGGGCAATAACTCAAAAATTATGCAGGGTAGAGTTATCATTCTTGTGCACTGCACTCCTCCTCAATGAGGTCTATCCACCTATGAAGTTTCAAGTTGATAACTCAAATACTTTTAGGGATATGCTCCGGACAAAAATGTCGGACGGACGGACGGAGACTATTTCTATATCCCCCGCCGCCTTTTTGGCGGGGGATAAAAACAGCATGGGAAAAACCTAGTCTGGATTGCCTGCCCCTGTTACTACGTCATCGCAGAATAGTAGGCATGGAAACAGACTAGGGAAAAAACCTGCTACTCATTCTTTAGTGAACTGGTGATATTTTACGACAATATGCTACTGATTTATGATGTCGCTAATGTAAACAATCACAGAAGTGGCGTTCATAAAAGAACAAAATACGATTGAGTGACGTTTGTTATTGTTAATTAAAAATTGGAAGAATTAATTTGATGACCCTTCTGTAAGTGCAAGAGTACTTAATGCATGTTTCCGCTGGCAAGCCCATGTCTGAGTAAACAATCACAGAAGTGGCGTTCATAAAAGAACAAAATACGATTGAGTGACATTTGTTATTGTTAATTAAAAATTGGAAGAATTAATTTGATGACCCTTCTGTAAGTGCAAGAGTACTTAATGCATGTTTCCGCTGGCAAGCCCATGTCTGAGTAAACAATCACAGAAGTGGCGTTCATAAAAGAACAAAATACGATTGAGTGACATTTGTTATTGTTAATTAAAAATTGGAAGAATTAATTTGATGACCCTTCTGTAAGTGCAAGAGTACTTAATGCATGTTTCCACTGGCAAGCCCATGTCTGAGTAGCACAACATGCCCATGTGTCAGAAAAACAGTGTCAGCCTATAGTGCAACATAATTACAAAGTGTCAGTAAAAGTGATACAGCAGGAAATGATAATTTGTACGCAAGTACCCTCACATGACCTACATAAAACTAGGAAATATGAGTCAAGGTAGTCCTGGCTAAACACACAGTAGCAATAAATCGATATGGAAAAAACTTAAAATAAGTTAATAAAAGACTAAACAAATATTAGTTATACTGATGAACGTATTCAATAAAAACATTCAAATGAACTGAAAAAAAGATTGGTGGAAACTTAATTTATACAAACCTTTTAACTCGAAATTCTATATGCATTTCTTCCTAATTATCGCATTAACACTCACAAACAATCTTTAATTTACATCGAATCACGGATTTATATATGTAATAGTGATCGAATTAAAAGACATGTATGAAAGATACTACCAACTTATTTAAAGGATTTGTTTTTCACAGCTGTATACCTTTTTTGTTAATTGATTGCTTTAAACTGTTTGATTATCACATCTGAAATAATGTTGATGTACATATAGTTGTTGATGTTATATAATTATTCATTATCACTATTGCGTATTAATGTCTTAATCGGCGCAGTTAAATTTACCGACACTTTTATGCCAGTTCATGTTTTTTTTACTATTGTTCTATAGTTAATAATATTCAATTAATAATAAATCAATTTTATTCCATCATACAACAAAATGACCTGAATAGTTTTCCTTGAAAATATATATTTTGGGGTTGGAATGACCGATTTTGGGGCCGGGTTGACCAATTTTGGGGCCGAATTGACCAAATAAAAATACTGTGGGGCCGGATTGACCAATTTTGGGGCCGGGTTGACCAATTTTGAGGCCGGGTTGACTTGGGGCCGGGTTGACTGTAATTCTATAGTGAGTATTGAGGTAAAAACTAAAATAAAGTTAAATTTTGCCGTACTATGATTCCTTTCAATTTTATAATCCACTTTACACTTACAATAAATAACTCATGTAGACTAAGAAAATTTCTGACATAATCCATCTGAATTGCCCTACTTTCAAAAAGTATAATAAAAATAAGGGCCATTTACTTGATACCACTACCAGTGTCTATTCCAGCTCTGACCTAAGACACCTGTTGTGAAATCATTTTGCAATTACTAATGTGTGCAAGTTTAGAATTATATAAATACATATTTATATATTGTAAATTCCAAAGTAACATTAAATATTTTCTAACAGTTAGTTTATTTTAAACTTGACCTGTTGACATATTAAATTAGGCGGAGGTCGAAAATATTCGAGGAGGAAACGCCTTTTCCGGCGAAACTTCGTACATTTTAATCATGAAAGCAGCACATTACCTGTATAAATTGTATGGTAAGAGCACTTTTACCCACTCCGCCCCCTCCCACGACAACCAATTTGTAATTTTGGTTAACACTGTTATTATCTCGGTGATTTCGAGACATTATTGTTTACTTTTTGACGGACATCACAATTTTTTTGTGATACGAATATTTGGCTATGTCATAAAACAAATTTATCTATCGGCACGTGTACTGGGAATGTCAGACGTTTCACTCCCAAGACGTTTCACTATTGAGACGTTTCACTCCCAAGACGGTTCACACCTAGTCGTTTCACTCCCATTTTGTCAATTGTATGGACGTTTCACTCCCAATTTTTAGAGATGTTTACTAGGAAAGTTAACAAATTTTAATTAATATTAAACAGTGTTAAAAGGAAATTCAATTTAATGTTTCATTTTGTTGAATTCAATGGTATCATTTAATTATGGGTTGATTGATAAGAGGTGTAAATGAAAGACACATTTCTGAAATATCACTTTTATTATCAGTGTAACAACATGAGAAAATTCTATTTATAGTAAATAAAAAATAGAATAACATAGAAAGAACAACAAAAACATCTATATTATAAGTATCAGTTTAAATATATTGAAATCATTACCAGTAAAGTAATAAATGCATGTATCACTCAAATAATAAAAAATATCGATATATTAAATATATTGACTACGTAATGATTATTTTTTGTAAGTCTTAAACAATGAAATGCAAAACATGTGTATAAAAACTATAAAATAAATTATTTTTTAAAATTATTTTCTTCATCCATTTATTAAACCCATTAAAAAAACTTAAGTAATTGTGATGTTATCTCATTGGCTAATTAGTTGTATAAACACTGAGACAATCAACTAACAGTTTGACACACTATTAAATCAGTTGTATAAACACAGCAGTTTACTAATCAGTTGTTTATTAGACCATTAAAATATTTTATGACAACAGCCAATTTAAACACAGAAACTTCTCCATAAGTTTTGTTTATATAATGATTGATTTTAGTCATAAAAAATGATTATACATGACAAATATTGAAAAAGTCCTAATGCTTCTAATTTTATTTAAAGATGTTTCTGATTTCAATTGCCATTAAATTTTTTGAAATATATCGCAAATGCACTATACTAGCATAAAATATTTTAACAACTTTTGATCAAATGTTTAAAATTAACAACAAAAAACATGTAACTCAAAGTTAATTCTTGTCACAAGATTGTTATGCTTTAAATTAAAATTGCCTATTGAGTCCATGTTTACAAAAGATCAAATACTTAGTTATATTAAAGTGTTATTTAAATCAAAAATATTTTTTCTTTAAATGAAATAATGTGATAATCATTGATAATTGCACATTTGGATCAAATAATAGAAAAACACCTTATTTCAAAATAATAAAGAAAATAAGATAACTGAAATGATAGAACTTAAAGAACTGAGTTTTAAGCCATTGACAAAAAATTGAAATCCTCCTTTTTAATTTATTAAATTTAAGGTCTATTTTAGTTCAATTCAATTCAATATTTTAGGTCTATGTTAGTATATCATAAGTATCAAAACAATTTTGGTATAAAAAGGGAGTGAAACGTCTTCAAGACGTTTCACTCCCATTTGGGAGTGAAACGTCTTGGTGTGAACTGTCTGGGTGTGAACCGTCTCAATAGTGAAACGTCTGTCTACCGTGTACTGGCATGCGAGAAGTGTAGTCTGGTTCCCGTCTTACTATAAAATCCAGACTAGCGAGAAGTGTAATGCACGGTGTAGTTATGAAAATGCACTCAACTGCACTTTGTATTCACAAAAGATGCTGTCTCTGGATCAAGGTCAGATCCCACTTGACCGGAAAACCGCCCTTGTCTCACCTGTCTTCAAAAAGGGAAATTGCTCCACACCATCCAACTACAGACCCATCTCTCATGCAAAGTGCTGGAACACATCATCTTCAGCAACCTCATGTCTCACCTTGACTCACACAACATCCTCTCTGACTACCAACATGGGTTCAGAAAAAAACGCGCCTGCAAGACTTAACTACTAATGACCATCAATGACTTAGCCAAAGGAATAGATAACAACCATCAAATTGACGCTGTTCTGCTTGACTTCTCAAAAGCATTAGATAAAGTTCCACACTCACGTCTCCTTCAGAAACTGGACCATTATGGAATAAGAGGCACAACGCACTCCTAGATTGAAGACTTTCTCTCGTCGCGCACACAACAGGTTGTCCTTGAGGGCTCCTTTTCAGCTACCACACCCGTCACCTCTGGTGTCCCTCAGGGCAGCGTCCTTGGCCCTCTTCTTGTCTTGGCCTACATCAATGATTTACCATCTAAAGTCCAACCCACGGCTCGACTCTTCGCCGATAATTACCTCTTGTATAGAATCATCCGTAGCCCTGAGGACTCACGCCAACTTCAACATGACCTTGATAGTCTCCAATCCTGGGAGGATGATTGGCAGATGGCTTTTAATCCCGACAAATTTGAAGTCATCCACATCTCCACAAAAAGAAAACCTATCACCAACACCTATTGCATCTATGGAAAAGAACTCAACACTGCAGATCATGCCAAATATCTTGGAGTCACCATCTCTTCAGACCTCTCTTGGAAAAGACATATTGATAACATCGCCAAAAGGCTAACTACACCATGTCCTTCATCAGGCGAAACATACGATCTAGCCCTCCAAGCGCCAATTCTAATGCTTTCAAGACATATATATGACCTACTGTTGAATACGCCTCGTCTGTCTGGTCCCCTCACTCTGAGGGTCTCATCAACCAACTATAAATGGTCCAACGTCGCGCTGCAAGATTCGCGAAACAAGACTACGCGCGAACAAGCAGCGTCACCGACATGCTTACCGACCTCAAATGGGACACCCTCCAACACCGGCGCAACAACACCAGAACAACCATGTTTTTCAAAATAATGCACAACCTTGTGGATATTATACCAGATCATCTACTTATCAATGCTAAGACTATCAGAGGGCACAATCAACGCTTCCGCAAAATCAGAGCACGCACCTCCATTTTCCAAAATAGTATCTTTCCCGCAACCATCGTACTTTGGAACAAGCTGCCGCAAGACGTTGTGACCAGACAAGCCAGGATGCTTTCTAATGCCAACCTCTAAAATACTAGTCACGGAGTTGTTTTTACCCTTTTAATAGAAACTGTAAATAGGGGAACTTTTTATTTTCATTTTGAAAAACAGTCAGTCCTGCCTGCTGCGTATGTATATACAGTTTTCATCCAATTGCGAGTATACTCCTTGCGGAGTGATGCATGCAATTACTTGAGATGATGATGATGCTGGGAACCAGGCTAGCCTTGGTGAATGACATTTAACAACCTTACCATTTTGTTACAAAATCCTTAGTTCAAAGTGCACGTTGCGTTGTTGATAGCGACAACACATCCTATATCGTTATCGCCTTTTCGTCTTGTAGCTAGGGAAACGCGCCAAACGGGGCGTTGTCGCACTGTGGTCTTGCCATCCTGTCGCTTGCTAAGCACGCCAAACATCCAGTCTTGTGCCGCATTGTTGCTACATGTATGTCGCACTGGCTGATAGAAAAAATAGCCAATCCTTCTATTTGAGCCAAGCGACAATGTGACATCGCAACAACACACTGCACGACAAAGCGCCGTTTGGCTTGCAACATTAGTGACAGGACAACAAGACGTAAGTCCAACAACGTGCTGTTTTGTGCTTTGTTCCAAAATCAACTACCATAGCTTATCTATATTTGTGCAACAAATCTCCCTTTTAAAACTTTCAATTTTAGTGACATTTACGATAACTTCAAAATAAAATATTTTAAGAGAAAGTGTTGTTTGTATGCTAAAATTGTCTATGTAAGATTGTATCACTGTACAATATACATAAAAGTAAAGCTTAAAATAGCACTCACTGAAGTAGGGTAGGCTTAACATCTCAAAGAAAAAGGAAATTTGCCGGAGTATACTGTATACTGATGTACTGGAGTACATGTATTTTTTTTTCTTACACCCAATAGCTATCAATATAATGCAAATTCTTTTACTTTCCTTTAAAAGAGATAAATGAATAAAAACGAAAACAAGACATATGTAATTATTCACTATTTCTCTTTTTATAATTCACATGGTGATAAAATGGTAGCCTCATTTCAAAAGGTCTTGCTTGTCATGCAACCATGCTTGTGTTTCTTTTCTGGAACCGCAAAGAGCAATACGCAAATGTAAAAGCAAAAAGGAATTGTTGCTCATGTTTTCCATACCAGTTAAATCATATAAAAAGTGTTCTAATTTTCCGTTTGAAGGGCGGCTGTAAACGATTTTACTTCCTGTAAAATGTGTCATTTGAAATAAGTTCATTTTCTTCAAGTGCGCCCTAAAACTGCTGATACGCTTTTTACTATATTACGGTCTAAAAGAGTAGCAGCTAGAAAGAATAGCCAGTAACAAATTATAAAACAATGGCAAATACGAAAAAGTATACAAAACTACAAAATGATGACAGAACCTGAAAATTTGAAGAATAATCAACAGTCCTTAATTATCATTTCTGGTTCTTGTGTATGATTTCATATCCACATATTATATTTCTTTCAGATGTCCAGAATTACTCTAATAGTTGAAAAGTTGAAATAGCTCCATACGATGAATAATTAAATATAATTCCAAAATCATTGAAGGAAATTTAATCCAATATATTTTTGTCCAAAATACTTTTTTAATGAAGATTTTACCAAAAGAAACTTATTTTAATAAGTCAGTCATTAGAAATGACTAGAATCAGATATATTCCACTTAACTATAAATAGAACTTTCCACAAAGTACTATTATATAAACAATAAGTAATAAACATTATGTAAAAATTAGGTTACATAATCAAAATATTAATTGATTAAAAAAGGAATGGTAAACAAGTCTGTTTCTCTGTAGACTATATTTAAAGAGGGTCATTCCGCTCGAGACACTTCCCTCAGCTTCAGTCGAAACATCAGCCGCTGTTTCCATAAGAGGTGATCTCGTGAAAAGTTGAATTATTGAATATAAAATATCAAGATCTCTTGTATCTCACACTTTCCAACAACATTCATATATAATTCGTTCATGGTTTGTTGTTTTGTCTGATTTCAATCATCGTCAACATA